GATTATGGAGAAATCGCGTGAGGTGTGCCCCTTGCCTAAATGCGCTCTCGCAAAATCCGTAGATGGATGTGTTTAGTCGATGGAGGCGACTGGACCGATAGCAGATTTCGGAGCAGTTTATGCCGGCTAGTGTTTTGTCACGTGTTTGGGTAGCGATTTGGTTGTGAACTACTTTTGCATTTTGTGAGAATATCAGGGCTGGGTAATGCTCGTATCAGCGGATGTCAGCGCTTTTGATCGTTAAGATGCGCATCGAAGTGAGCTGGCACGGAGCTAGCACGGCGCGCAAGCAGCCCAATTGATGGGGACCCGTCATACTTCTCCCGAAAAAGCCTAAAAGCGGTCGGAAAAGCCAAAAGCGCCAGAAAGAGCCGGAACGCCTTTTTCGCGCATAAGTGGTATACTTATTTAGCTTCACTTTCTGTCTTCTGCACCTCAAGTTAATGTCAGAATTTTATCAAAAGTTCTAAACTGGATGAAACAGAATCCAATGTAACTTAGCAGCTATAGTCTTCAGCATGGTTTTTTAGCTTTTTATCAGCTCAATTAGTGTCTTTGTCCTCTCTTGATCATTTGATTAGTCTTGTCTAGCTCTTCTTCTGGTTTAGACTTTTCTATAATCTAGGATCTGATGCCAAGGGCTCACGAGCATGGCTGATTCCGTATCCCTCCTGCCTGAACTTTTGGTCGATTCTGACATTATTTTTATGTGCAGATGACAGAAAATGAAGCTATATACGGATTTGTCACTTGCGAAAGCGGCGTTCCGGCTCTTTCTGGCGCTTTTGGGCTTTTTTCGGCGAAGTAGGACGGCTCCCATACAGAGGTACTCAATTGCTTATTGTTAGACTAGCTTCCGTCTGCTTTCACCCACAAGAATGCTTTTTACACAGAATTAGATAAAAAGAGATCTTACGAAAGAATTGTGGAAGAAGATTTGCCAGGCGTTTCCAGATTGGCAATTTGAATTTGCACAAAATTTGTTTTGTTCTTCGGGGATGCCATTCGTCAAGCTTAGCAACGCAAGCACACTGTATCAAAATTAAGATCACTGAAATTACGTACTGAAATTCACTGGCTTTATGTGCGTGAGCGACATGCTTTGCGCGTCCAATTTTGGTCGGGCGCGATTTGATTCATGAATACACACTAGCGCTTACTGTTGCTCTTCTTTGACTGCAAAACTGACCGTTGATGAGTGTGTAATGCTTGAGGAGAATGAAAAGAAAGTCAAAAAAACTTGTTTTCTGTGATTTACACCTCATGCAAAGTTCTGTTTACGTGCATTTCGGTACTATTAGAATAGAACGATATCAGGTGTGATCTACTTCCCTTTCCCTTACAACTGTGCTGTTTCTATCGCAAAATGAGAGAAGATTGAATCTCCGTTTTTGCTGTTGTCGCTTGTCTTTTCTGAACGTCCCATAAATAATTGGGAATCCTATCAGATAGTTTCAGTAATTGATTTAGGTTCCCCTACACCGAATGGTAGTAATGGTGAAGTGCGGGAAGGTTTACTCAAAAGTGACACTGGTGATACACCTTCTGGAACGAGGTCTTTGGCTGGCACAACGCCTATCCGGATAGTTTCCGCCATTAATCATCCTCGGGAAGGCGTTCAGTCCCATCGCCTACCTCCTGGTGTTCGGGTTGTGCGTGGATCAACAGTTTCTGGCGCCAGTGGGGTGCGTTCTCCCACTCATCATGTGCGTACAGTACTGGGAACTGGTGCTTCACATCCTGGCCGCATGGTGAGCTCGGGATTGCTATCATCTGGTGCAGCAGGCGGCATTCGATCGGCACCAATCCGGACAGTGGTTGGTGCAGGACAAGGTATGCGAGTTGTGCAGCAGGCTGGTCGTACTTTGATCGCTGTTCCCAGCGGTTCTCGTTTGGCTGCCACGCTCTCGTCGGTTGCGGCGAGAGCAGCACCCGTGGAGCTTACCACTACTGCTAACAATGTTCCAGCTCTTTCTGTTGTCGACGTCAATCGGTCAAAGTCCACAGACAAACTGAATTCTGACGAGCAACTCTCGGACGGCTCGGTCAGCACTGATATCCGTGAAAGTTCTGTTGAGTTGAACGATGAAAGCGAAGTGGCCGTGCAGCATACAAATTGCTCTACGGGTGTGAACGGATCTGAAGCGTCTACATCTCAGCATGAGGAATCATTGGTGCTGTCGGAACCAACCTCCGCCTCTGAAGAGAAGGAAATGACTGGTTTGACCAGTAGTGGAATGGTTACAAGACGCATGACACGCGGAAATGGCGCTTCCATCAAAGCTGTCGATGCCAACCAGACCGTTGAAACTTTGGATATGGGTTGCTCCAGAATGGACCTTCCATTAGCTCCTCCTCCACGCCGACGAGCGACAAAAAGGCCTAGTGAGTTCTTTGTTTTCTAATGTTGAATCAGTAATTTATTTATACTTTTAGAGTACTCTCTTTCAACGGGTGAACTAGTCAGAGCGCAGTATATCCTTCCACCCGACCAACTACCTCGTCGTGTCTCTGTACCGCGTGAAGAAAATCCGTTGAGTCTGACTGAGCAGGCTCGATTGTCTCGGAGGCCGATAGTCGTTCATTCGGTAATTCGTTCCTCTAAACCGTAATAGTATTGGTGCACCTTTGCACAAGTTTTAGCATTATGGCTTCACCGTCTTT